CACCCTGATTAAGACCAGTTGAGTGTTGGGAGGCCAAAGTTGGAAGGAGCAGAAAGGGAGGGACCTGTAAAGAAATGTGCTTGAGGCCGGGCTAACACCTGTAATCCTAGCTCTCTGGGAGCCGAGGTGGGTGGATTGGCAAGTCAGGAGTTTGAAACCAAGCCGGAAGTGGAGACCATAATAATAATCTAGCTTAGATAATTGACCAACCTTTATGTGTTAACGATCAGGTATATTACCTGACATTCACCAATTGGTTGTAGGTAGATGGCTTTATTTCTTGGTTTTTTCTTCTTTTCTGTTGCTCTAAGTCTCTACTTTTATGCCAGTACCATGCTATGTTGGTTACTATAACCTTCTAGTGTAATTTGAAGTCAGGTAATATGATGCCTCCAGATTTGTTCTTTTGCTTGAAATTGCTTTGGATATTAGGGCTATTTTTTGGTTCCAAATGGAGCTTAGAATTATTTTTTCTAGATCTATGAAATATGACATTGATATTTTGATGGGGATTGTGTTGAATCTGTGAATTACTTTGGGCAGTATGGCCACTTTAACAATGTTGATTCTACCAATCTTCGAGCATGGAATATTTTTCCATTTGTTTATGTCATCTATGATTTCTTTCATCAGTGTGTTTTAGTTCTCCTTGTAGAGGTCTTTTACCTCCTTGGCTAAGTATATTCTAAGTATTTTGTTTTCTTTGTAGCTATTGTATATGGTCATTATGAGTATATGGTCATTGTATATGAGTCATTGATCTGACTCTCAGCTTGACTGTTATCAGTGTATAGAGATGCTACTGATCTGTGTACATTGATTTTGTAATCTGAGACTTTGAGAAATTTATTTATCAATTCTAGGCCTCTTTTTGTGAAGTCTTTTTTTAAATTTCAGAATATTATGAGGTTACAAACATTTTGGTTACATGAATTGCTTTTGTACAGTTTGAGTCAAAGTTATAAGTTTGTCCATCACCCATATAGTGTGCATTGTACCCATGAGGTGTGAGTTTACCCATCATTTTCTCCCCCATCCCATCTGCTTGATTTCCATTGAATTTTACTACCATATGCGCACATGAGTGTTGATCTGTGTCAATTTAGTAGCAAGTACATGTGGTTATTGTTCTTCCATTCTTATGATATTTCACTTAAAAGGATGGTCTCCAGTTCCATCCAGGTTGTTATAAAAGGTATTTGTTCAATGATTTTTATGGCTGAGTAATACTCCATGGTATATACACACACCATATTTTATTGATCTATTCATGTATTGATGGGCACTTGGGTTGTTTCCACATCTTTGCAATTGTGAATTGTGCTACAATAAACATTTGAGTGCAAGTGTCTTTTTAAATAAAATTTCTTTTTTTTCCCTTTAGGTAAATACTCAGTAGTTGGATTGCTGGATTAAATGGTAGGTCTACTTTTAGTTTTTTGAGGTATCTCCGTACTGCATTCCATAGAGGTTGTACTAGTTTGCCATCCCACCAACAGTGTATACATGTTCCTTTCTCGGCCAGACATGGGCTCACACCTGTAATCCTAGTACTCTGGGAGCTTGAGGCAGGAAATTGGCTTGAGCTCAGGATTGCGGAGAGCAGCCTGAGCAAGAGCGAGACCCACTCTATTAAATAGAAGAATTTAATTGGCAACTAAAAATATGCAGAAAAATTAGCCATATATGTGGCACATGCCTGTAGTTCCCAGTTTTATTTCAGTGGCTGATGGCGGTAGGATTGCTTGGCTAGCAGTCAGTTGCTGTGAGCTAGGTGACACCATGACACTGTAGGCCCAGGTGACAGAGTGAGACTCTGTCTCAAAATAAATAAATAAATAATAATAAATAATAATAATAAATAAAGTGTTCCTTTCCTTCCACATCATGCCGCATCTGCTGTTTTGGAACTTTTTGATAAAAAGTCATTCCTGGATTTAGTATTCTCTTTGTGGTTTGTGCATTTCCCTGATGAAGGTAGAGACATGGTCAAAAATCAGTGTTTAGGTTTTTCTAGATACAAGATCATATCATCAGCAAATAGGGATACTTTGACCTCTCCTTTCCTGATTTGTGTACCCTTTATTTCTTTCTCTTGCCTGATTGCTCTGGCTAGGACTTTCAATTCTATGTTGAATAGTAGTAGTGGCAGTGGGCACCCTTATCTCATTCCAGTTATTTTTTTTTGAGACAGAGTCTCACTTTGGTTGCCAGGCTAGAGTGGATGCGCGTGGCATCAGCTATGCTCACAGCAACCTCAAATCCTGGGTGTAAGCAATCCCCTGCCTCAGCCTCCAAGTGGCTGGGACTATCAGGGATGCGCCACCATGCCCAGCTATTTTTTTCCTTTCTATATATATTGGTTGCCTAATTAATTTCTTTCTATTTATAGTAGAGACAGGGTCTTGCTCTTGCTCAGGCTGGTTTCGAACTCCTGACCTTAAGCAGTCCATCGGCCTTGGCCTCCCAGAGTGCTAGGATTACAGGCGTGAGCCACTGTGCCTGGCCTCATTCCAGTTCTTAGAAGGAATGCTTTAAACTTTTTCCTATTCAGTATGATGTTGGCTGTGGGTTTGTCATTTATAGATTTTATGACTTTGAGATGTGTTCCTTCTATGCCTAATCTGTTGAGGGTTTTTATCATGAAAGAGTGCTGGATTTTATTGAATGGTTGTTTTGCATCTATTAAAATGATCACGCCTTGTTTTTGCTTTTGTTTATGTGGTGAATCACATTTATTGATATGCATATATTGAACCATCCTTGCATCCCTGGGATGAAACCACTTTATCATGGTGAATAATCATTTTGATATGTTGTTGAATTCAGTTAAGTATGAAATACCTGATTTCCTTAAGTACTAAGTTTGACAGTTGATATCTGTGACATTTCACTTTGATACTTCTTGCTTTATGTTTATTGTGAAGTTACATCCTCAGTCTTTCAAATGCACATTGTGGTTTGTGATTATTTTTCAAAAAAACATTTTTTTTTATGTCTCAGCCTCCCAAGTAGCTGGGACTACAGGAGCATGCCACCACACTCAGCTAATTCTTTCTATTTTTTAGTTGCCCCGATAATTTTTTTCCTATTTTTTTAGTAGAGACAGGGTCTTGCTCTTGCTCAGGCTGGTCTATCTGCTCCGGTTCCCACCTAGGCTCCCAGGTACAGATTATAGCATGAGCCACTATGGCAGACAGTATTAGCATTTCTTTTACATCTTAATTATTTCAATTTTTTGTGTGAAATGAGACCATACTATATTATTGTTTTGTAATCTACTCTTCACATAATAGTCTGGATTTTCATGATCCATAATAGTGTAATGTCACTTTCAGTTTGCTTCTATATATTTTATTAATAAATATTTAAAAATCAATAGCTTGAGGGCCGGGCATGGTGGCTCACACCTATAATCCTAGCACTCTGGGAGTCCAAGGCGGGAGGATCACTTGAAGTCAGGAGTTCAGAACAGCCTGAGCAAGAGCGAGACCCTGTCTCTACTACAAATAGAAAGAAATTAAC